AGAGACCCAGTGCCTGGGGATCTACACAATGAGCCAATTTTCCCCTTATTCAGTACTAAATACTGAATTACCAACTACTAAATAGCCTGTCCTTTCCTCAATGATTTATGATATATTATCATGAATTTATCATATATTAAATTTATGTATGTATGGATTTGTCTCTGAACTCTATTCTGTTCCAGTGTGATCTGTCTGGTCTTATACCTTTTACACACTGTTTTTAATACTATTAATTATACCTTAGTATCTGGTAAGGTAAATTCTATTTATTTATTTGCATTACTGTTGACTTAGTTATATATAGACTTTTATTCCTCAATACTATTTTTAGAAAAAGTTTATCCTAATTTACCAGAAATATACATCTGGCATTTTTGATTGGGATTGCATTTAGAATATGTAGATTATTTTGAATATAATCACCATTTTTGTCATATTGTCATCCCATCCAAGAATACGAACTGTCTCCCTTTTATCCATATTTTTCTCTTTATTAGAATTTTCTCCATAGAGGTCTTATATTTTCTTGGTTATGTTAATTCCTAGATACGTTATTGTTTTGGTGATTATTGTGAATGGTTTTCTTTTTTTAACTATTTTAAAATTGCTCTTCTTGGTGTAGAGAAATTTTATATTGATAATTTTTTTATAGATTATCAACCTTGCATAACTCTCTTATTTAATTCTAATAGTTTTCTAATGATGTTTTTTGGCTTTTCTGGGTAGATGACTGTCATATGCAAATAATGGCAGTTTTATCTCTTTTCATCTTTTTACCTCTCTCTCACTCTCATTTTTTCTATTCTTAATAGCCAGGGCCTCAACGATTAAATTATCTAGTAGTAGTGATAGTGGCATCCTTGTCTTGTTACCAGCTTTAAAGAGGATGCATATAGTTTCCCCATTATGTGATGGGGAAATATAATGTTTGCTCAAGATTTCTGGAATATAATCTTAATCAAATACACTTTGCTGAGAATATTTTAAATTATTTTTATCATTATAAATAGATTTTGAATCTTATTTTTTCTGCATCAGTAAAAATAATTATATGATTATTCTTAGTTTAGTCAATTAATGTGATGAGTTAATTAATAGGTTTTTCTGATGAACTGGCCTTTCATTTCTGAGATAAACTCTATTTGATTGTGAATCTATGATTTTTTAATACACTGTTAGATTTAATTAGGTAATATTTTATTCAGAACTATTACCCCATGTCCATCAGTGAAAAAAATTTTTTTTCGTATTCATATTTGGTTTTGGAGTCAAGGTTACATTAACCTCCTAAAATGTTTGGGTAGTTTTGCTCTCACAAAAATCTCAGTCTATATATAATGGGGGGAAGAAAAGGATATTTCTAAAAAATCCCTCAGGATTGTTATTTCTGTCATGATCTAGTTAGGAGATAGAACTTATACTAGTTATTTTTACAGAGACAATTTACTATAAAGAATTGAAAACCCATTATAAAATTGTTAACTAGGTAATTGAAAGGAAGTAGCAACTACAGGAAGCAGCTACCACCCCTAAGGCTGGGGAGACAAAGGGAAGAGGTTGGGATTCTTAAAACCTAGAAGCTGAGCTGTAACTCAGACTTCTGAAGAGCAGCCTGATACTTTGAAGGCTGACTCAGACCTCTGAGAAGGTGGCACTGCTAGGTTGGTGCTGGTGTCTCTTAGGGGTTGCTAGAGTGATGGTCACAGGAATAGCAGACAGGCAAGAAGCCCATGGAGTAAAGAGGAAGGAGTGACTCCTTTCTTCCCTCTTCAGCTTTGCAGTCTCCCTCTAGAACTTTGCTGTAGCACTGGCAAAGCCTACCAGGGAGCTGAAATGTAGTTTACAGAGTTTCAGCCCCAGTATCACAAAGCTGAGTATAGAAGCATGGTTTTGGAGCCGAGAGTCAATAATTTAATAAGTGGTACAATTGAAAACTAAATCACATAGTACTTAAATAATCTCTGTGTGAGCTACGAAAGAAATCCTCCAGGAAATTAAATGCTAAGAATAGAAGGATAGCAAAAACTCTGTGTTTTAAATTTTCTCTAAGAGGGAATTATAACGAATACATTTTATCAGGAAACAAGAAGGATTAAAAATAAATGCATTCAACTCAAGTACAGTAGTCCTCCCCTTATCCTTGATTTCACTTAACTGCAGTTTCAGTTACCCGGGTCAATCGTGGTCTGAAAATATTAAATGGAAAATTCCAGAAATAAACAATTCAAAAGTTTTAAATTGCGTGCCATTCTGAGTAGCATGATGAAGTCTCACACTATCCCACCGGGGATGTGAATCATCCCTTTATCTAACATATTCATGCTGTATATGCTACCTGCCTGTTAGTCACTCAGTAGCCAACTCGGTTATCAGATTGACTGTTGTGGTATCACAGGGCTTGTGTTCAAGTAATTCTTATTTTACTTAATAATGGCCCCAAAGTGCAGGAGTAGGGATGCTAGCAATTCAGATATGCCAAAGAGAAGCCATAAAGTGCTGATTTTAAGTGAAAAGGTGAAAGTTCTCAAATTAATAAGGCAACGAAAAAAATTGTATGCTGAGGTTGCTAAGATCTATGGTAACTTTTATTACAATATATTGTTATAATTGTTCTATTTTATTATTAGTTGTTGTTGTTAATCTCTTAATATGTAAATTAAATGCTATAATAGGATGTATGTATAGGAAAAAACGTAGTATATATAGGGTTCAGTACTGTCCTTGGTTTTAGGCATCCACTGGGGGTCTTGGAATGTATCCCCCATGGATAAGGGGGGACTACTGTAGTTGGAAAAGATCAACAGAGTAAACCCAAAGAGGAGGGAAATTAAAAATGTAAGGGAAGAGTCAATGGAATAGAGAATAAGACAACAAAGTAAAGTGAAAAAAAAAAGTCTCATTCTTTGAAAAGATTTTTGAGATTATGAAGTCGGACCAAGGTCCATTCAAGAGACAGAACTACACTAGTGGGTGTTTTTGGTGAAAGAGAAAAGAAGATGCAAATAAAATATAGAATGGAGGAAATAACTACAGACGCAATAGAGATTTAGATGTTCCCTCCGGATGTTAAAAACCCTCTCTGCAGAAGAATAACTGGGGATATCTATCTCACTAGGTTACCTATTATTTCCTTGCAGCCTCATGATTAACTTTACCTTGATTAACTATACTCTGTTAGTTTAAATATGTGTGTTAACATTTCTAGTACAGTCATGCATTGCTTAATGATGGGGATATGTTCTGAGAAATGTGTCATTAGGCGATTTCATTGTTGTGTGAACATCAATAGAGTGTACTTACACAAACCTACGTGGTATAGCCTACTAGGCTATATGGTACTAATCTTATAGGACCACCTTCATATATGTGGTCCGTTGTTGACTGAAATGTTGTTACGTGGTACATGACTGTATAACCATTGAAATAATAGAAATAGAGTGTATAACTTCAAAACTAGTAGAAGGCAAAAATTGAATGTGAAAAGAACAAAACAAACAAAAATCAATTAGTCTGAAAGAAGGCAAGAAAAGGAAGTGGTAGGGCTTAGAATATAGTCAGCCATGTTAACATTAGACCAAGTAATTTTAAGGCAAAGAGCATTCCTGCATCTAAAGATGAGTACTGCATATTGATAAAACATTCAGTTCCTTGGGAAGCTGTAACTATTTTAAACTTGATGTACTTGACAGGGTAGGTTTGAAATGTATAAGCAAAAATTTCCATAACTACAAGGAGAAATGAACAGAACAATTATTTTAGAGAGAGAATTTTAACACATCTCTGTCAATGGTTGAGGATGGAGAAGACTTGAACAACACAATCAACAAACTTGATCTAATGGATATATATCTGGACCACTGAACCCAACAATATACATATTCAAGCACGTATAGAACATTTATGAAATTGCCATTCAAAAAATTTATTTTATACAGGCCTTGTTCTCTGACCAAAATTCATCTAAGTTAAAAATCAGTAATTTAGGCCGGCCCCGTGGCTTGGTGGTTAAGTGCGCGCGCTGCGATGCTGGTGGCCCGGGTTCGGATCCCGGGTGCGCATCGAGGCACCACTTCTCCGTTCATCCTGAGGCCGAGTCCCGCATACAGCAACTAGAAGGATGTGCAGCTACGACATACAACTATCCACTGGGGCTTTGGGGGAAAAAATAAAATAAATAAAATCTTTAAAAAAAAAAAAAAAAAATCAGTAATTTAAAAACCTTCATAGTTGGGAAATTAGAAAATTCTAAATAACTCGGTTGAATTATAATGTACATATGAAGAACTATTTAGTATTGAAGGATGAAAATATATCAAAATTTGTAGTATGCAGCTAAAGCAGTACTTACAGGGAAATTTACAACCTGAAATTATGTTGAAAGTGAAGAAAGGTTGAAAAATAACAAGCTGTGCATTATTATTAGAAAATAGTAAGTCCTAGAAAACAGAAAGATTTAATAAAAGATTGGGCAGAAATGAATGGAAGAGGAAAAAAATTACAAGAAGAATGCTTTTATGTACTATTCTATATTAACTGCCAGCTCCCCTCCCTGCTACCTCTGCATGGTCATCATGGGCTCTAGAGTTACCTCAGCCTCTGCTCAGCTTCTCTTGTTGATCCCAGTACTTCGTTAGAAGTCCTTCTTGGGTAGATCTTCAACTTTATTTAAAGAATAGTTCTTGGCTTTATCAGGGAGGGGAGGCAAAAAGTATTGCTGCAGCTTTTTTCTAGGTCCCAACTACTTGCAGTCCTTAAATTACCCAAATCAACTTTCAGGCTACTACTGCTCTTGTATTTGTTTCTTCCTACATCATCTCTGATTCTTCCAGGTTGCTTTTTTTCTCTTTGTTTTGTTCTTTATAGTTCTTGTTAGAAGATTTCCTTACCTATCTAGTCAGAGCAGCAGCATTTGCACCAGTTCCTTGAGCCTCAGTTTTCAGAGTGACACAAAGAGGGCGGGGTGATATCTGAGTCCACACTAGGTAGCATTACAGGAGGAGAACCCTGAATTTAGGGAACCTGAATCTTTTGTAATGGGCAGTAAGCATGTCTGCCCTTTGCTTTGGAGAGAGACACTCTATCTTCCTGTATATAAACATCCTTGAAAAGATAGTTTGGAAAAGAGGTAGTTAGTGTTTCTGGTTGAAAGATAAGCAGAAATTTGAGAGAGACAGAAGAATTGTCTTTCAGCATTTTGGAAGGCAGAAAAACCAAATTGGTATTTGTAAGATAGACCTAAATAAGTGACTTATAGATTCTAGATTGCAGAGAATGGCCTAAGAAATTTTCCCTAGAAAATAGTGATATTTTTACATATATCCTCAATTTCCTCTGGTGTAGTTTTTTTCCATTTAACCTACTATCTCAGAGACCTCCATGAATATTAGACTCACACTGATAGTTTCCTGGGAAAGATTACTATGGATCTATTTTTTGAGTGTCGTTGCACCATTCGTTGTTTTTTCTTGGTCAAAGATACCCAACCCTCTGTTTTTGGGAGTTTGTGTCTGCCTTCCTTGCATCAATGCTTCTGTTTCTCTATAAAAGTTCAAATATGAAAGCAAGTAAAATGACAATTATGGTATCATTTTAATTTAGTAAAAAATCACCGAGGCATAACATTTTAGACAAAAGACATTAAAAAATGATGGAGCTAGCTGGGGTCCCAGGGCAAGTTCAGATATTCAGACTGGATTTCTAAGAGGTCTCTGAGACCAAAATTACTCAAAGTGGAACTTCATTGTACACTGGAACACAAACATAGCACTTCATTAAAAAAGACCCTAAGGCAAAGAGTACATAGGGACTTTGCTGCCCTCTAGACTAGAGGTCTTTGTCACAGATCAAAGGGCTCTAAATCTGGCAACTTAGTTGTGGGGGGAGGAGTTTGGGACACAGTGGAGTGTTTAAACTCCAAGCAGACAGCAAAAACAAAGAACTGAGCATCTTTAACTTTCTAGGTCAGCATGATCTCTTTTAAGTTATTTTGGATCTTTCTAAATTTGACTTGGTTGACCATCTTTTTGGCTCCTACGGTATTTTACTATTCTGATTCTACTCCTCTGTCTCTTCCTATTAATTCTCTTTTTTTTAAAACCACCATTCTTCCTATGTTCTTCAAATGATGGGCTTTCCTAAGCTTGAGCCTTCAGCCCTCTTTTTTCCATCCCTGATCCCTCTCTAGCCTCCCTTTATAGATCTCTTCCACTCCTGTACTATCAGATCTCTTGTGTATGGACATAATTCTGAAGTCTGATTCTCTCTTGAGTTCCAAAACCACATTTCCAACTTCCAACCAAGTATTTCCTTTAAGATGTTCTGCCAGTACCTTAACAAAACTTGTAAATCTGGTTTGAATGTATTAACAAAAACGGCAGAGGCAAAAGGTGTGTTGTCATTTTAATATTTTAGTCTTTTAAAAGAAATTCTCCAAACAGATTATTTTGATAAATCTTTATGGTCTTTTTCTGTGAATGTTGTTTTGTGAGTTTTATTTCATGTTTGTAAAATATCTGTATTTTCATATTTCAAATCAGTTTGTCATATTTTCACTGCCAGAATTAAGCATTTGAATTTTTGCCTTCATCACCCACATTCTTCCATCTCCCTTCATACCCTCCCACCCCCATACACACACACAAGCTCAAAAAATTTTAAATTCTATAATATACCTGAGGTTTGGATTTTTTATTATTATTTTTATTGATAATGGTTCAGTCTGTATTTATGGGGTAGAAGATAAATCTTGTGTTACTTTTCTCTTTACAGGTCTCTATGCCTTGCGGAGAGTCCTGAAGAAACAGCCTAACCTCCCTGACAGCAAGGTGGCTGGATTGGTGAAGATTACTCTGAGTGATTTCTTACAGGGCATGAATGACATCAGGCCCAGTGCCATGAGGGAGGTAGCAATTGATGTCCCAAATGTAAGTCATTTGTAGTCCCATGCTAGTCATACTGTTTGAATTAAACCCTGAAAGAAACTGAGACTCCAGGGAAACTAACTTCCTACGGTAAACTTTAAAAAAATTTTCTTTAATTGAAATTTTTGTGGAGATAACTGTAGATTCAGTGCAGCTGTAAGAAATACTGTAGGGAGGTCCTGTGTATCCTTTACCTAGTTTCCCCCATGGTAACATCTTGCAAAACTATAGTACAATATCACAAGCAGGATATTCTGTTGATATAATCACCAATCTTATTCAGATTTCCCCAGTGTTAGTTGTACTCATTTATGTGTACGTGTGTGTGTGTGTTTTTAGTTCTAGGCAGTTTTGTTACATATAAGGATTTGTGTATCCATCACCAGAATTGAGATACTGAATAGCTCCATCACCACGATGATCCCTTGTGTTGCCCTTTCCTAACCACACCTACCTTGTTCCTGCACTCATTTCTAAAATTCCGTCATTTCAGAAATGTTTTATAAATGGAAGTATACAGTATGCAACCATTTGGGATTAGGATTTTTTTCCACTTAGCATAATTCCCTGGAAATTTATCCAAGTTATTATGTATATCAATAGTCTGTTCCTTTCTGTTACTGAGTAGTATTCCATGGAATGTGTGTACCATAGTTTGTCTAACCATTCTTCTGTTGAAGGACATCTGGGCTGTTTCCAGTTTTGGGCTATTATGAATAAAGCCACTATGAATATTCATGTATAGGTATTGTGTGAATGTAAGTTTTCATTTCTCTGGAATAAATGCTCAAGAGTACAGTCACTTGGTTGTATACTAATTGCGTGTTTAGTTTTATAAGAAAATGTCAACTAGGCCAATTTTAGAACAAAAAAATCTTCTAGTTATGATGCCTTCTACTAATGATGCCTAATGTTTCCTTGGGTTCTTTTACATATACCCTCATCACTGACAGTCTTTGCACAGTTCTCTGTCAAATCACCACAAGTGCAACAGAAGTTACCTTTTATGCGTAGGTGATCTTTATGGCCTCCATGACCAAAGTGGGCCTGATATTTAGGGAAAAAGTGGCCTCTTGAATATATTAATATTTCTAGAAAATGAACATAGAAAGAAAGCATTGGCAGTGTGTCCTGCATTGTATTGAGGTAGAGGATGAGCCGTTAAGCTTGGCTTGATCATAAGGAGAACGTCTGTCTTAATGTAGCTCAAAGAAAGTTTACAGATTGTTCTCTGTCAGTTATAGCAGAGCTCTGATGGAAGAATGGAATTTTGTGACTGTTCCCCTTGCCTCTATAATATCACCCCATTTCTTTTTCTCTTTTGAGATAGTCCTGTTGTTTCTGAGACACTCTCTTGTAAAAGCTCTAACATTACAGTTATTTGAAAACTTAGAGCCTTGTTAGAGAGTCAGTCATAGTTTTGTACCCTTCACCCCATTGTATATAGGCACGTCAATATTCACAGTTCTCTTGGTCTTCAACCAATGTTTCTTAATTGTTGTAAGTTAAAAAAAAAATAAAAGACTAAAAAATTAAGTCAATGGAGTAGACTCTCTGGAATGATATAGTAGCTAGAAATCAGTGGATGTATTTTCCCTTTTAAAAGTGAATCTTCCTTGAAGAATGTGTTTTGTGGTCAAATAAGTTTGGGAAATACTGGTTTAAATAAAATCAATTTTATTTCTTTGCTACAGGACTTCTCAGAGTCTTTTAATATGCTAATATGTATTATCAAGTGTCAAAAGAGAGCTGTTAGGGGAACTTATTTGGCCATGGATGATGTGGAGCAGAAACTTTCTGCATTTTACAATGTGGTATATTGCAAAAAATGACCACAAAGTCTTCCCGTCACTGTGTGTGTGCCCTTTTGCACTGCAACGTTGTAGCTCTTACCATAAAAGAAAGGGAGTCAAGTTTTCCACCCTTTGAATCTGCGTCTGGCCATGTAACTTGCTTTGGCCAATAGGATATTAGCAGTCATGATACATGCAGGCTTGAAAGTGCTTTGGGGCCTGGCCTGCCTTTTCTTGCTGCTCTTTGAAATGTTAGCTATGTTAAGAAATCTGTACTAGCTTTCTGGAGGATGAGAGACCGTGTGGAGCAAAGATGAGCTCTCCTAGCTGAGATCCCCTCAGTCCAGCCATCCTGCCAATTGTCAGATGTGTGACACTGTGCTGGACTGTCCCACCCCAAAGTTTGCCCAGACCAAAAGAACCACTCAGTTAACCGTCAGAATTGTCAGAAATAATAAAGATCTGTTGTTTTGAGCCGCTAAATTTGGGGTAGTTAGCAAAAGCTAAGTGATGCAGACACTTGTTAACTTCTTATAGAACACAGTTGTTTTGTAAATTTAGGCTGGGAAATGGTACCCTAAAGATAGGAACATCCCCAATGACTAGCTGCTAGTTTAGGCTGTTTAATGTGGTTTTGAATTCTTTTTGAAAGATTTTCACATTCATGGCTGAACTTACAGCTTACCTTTGGGTTTTTTCAGAAGCTCTGTAGCAGAACATGCTAATTTAGTATGCATAATTTGACAAATGGAGTTATGGAATAATGAATGATTGATGTTGGGTTAGTAGAAACTTTTCATTTATTTGGAATTTATGGTCTAAAGTTTGGGCACATTAGTATGAATACTTTTACTTGCTGTATTTTTCACTATGTTATTGGCTACTGTTGCATAATATAATGGGTCAGATAGATGCCTAATCATCAAATGCCAGATGTGAAAATTTTTGGGTAATAGGGCTATAAACCAACTACACCATCCAGAAACACTTTAGTGTTTAAAAAAGTTTAGAAACTAAAGAAACATACAGTAAGGTTTTAAACTTAAAGTTACTGCCAATGGAGAATGTGTTTAAACGGTGGCTGTCCACTCTTGGAATTGCTGAACTGATTTATTCATCACAGGAACTGGTACTACAACTGCATTTTTAATTGCTCTAATGAAAGATTTTTTTCCTTTATTTTCTTTTGATACAGTATTTACAGTCCATGGACTTGTGCCATTTTCCATTTGGCACTTCATTATTTGGCCTCAGGCCATGGTGTACTGTGATGTTACTCATGAGCTCCAGAGTGATTAGCCCTGGTCAAAGTACTTTCTTACACTGCTTTTTATGCTCACTTCAGATTGTAAAAATTTTCCTGG